TGCAATCTTTTGATGTTCGAGTTTCGAAGTCATTTGAAAAACGATCCGCATGAAGTGTTCGCTTTACTGCATTCTTGGCCATTCTTCACAGTTTGTGTACGCCACAATACCCAATGCCCATATCAATTGTGTTGAGTTGTGTTCAGAAAAGTCAAGTCGGTAGATTTGTGCGTGAATTGCTCAGTTTCACCGTGCTCTTCAAGCATTGAACTTTTGATTTTTGGCTCAAACTTCAGTTCATTGCTGCAAAGTGCTTTTTAAAAGTGAATTTTGTCATTCGACTAAAATGTTCGAAAAACTGACGGTTTTGAATTAATCACTGTCGTAGCGGTTTGCGTGATGCATTTAACAATAATGATTAGTTGTTTCATTGCGTTGATTGATGGGTCAAAAGTGAGCGGAATGTTGAGAATTTTGGTTGCTGTTTACGAGCGATCTTGACGCATCGTTATAAAGGCTCATTCATTCAGCATTTGTGTGCATCCGAAAATTGCATCGAAACTATTGAGATGGCGTGTGAAAAGACAATCATCTAAGTGGGAATTGTATGCAGTTTTATAATCAGAGCGTAATGAGTAACATAATGATGAGCAACTCTTTGCATATGACATCGCAAACATTCTTCATTTACGACATTCTGTTTATAATCTGTATTTTTTTGTGCTGGCGACGTTGATGTGAAGGCAAACTCGTGCTCGTGTAGCGATCGATCACTTGAAATGACCTCAGCTTTTTTTTATACCCTGCAGTTTAAAATAAGTTTAAAATAAGCATGCGTGTTGTATTCATTGACACCATCTAGCTTTACCTTCTGCAGAAATACTTTGCAGAAATACTTTGCACCATTTTTCCCGTTACGAAACATCGGTGTTAATTTTGGAGCATTCATTGTTCACCTGCATAAAAATTTTAGGATATTGTGTATGACGATGATGGAATGGTGATAAGTGGAAGTGCGGAAGCACTTATAAGGCGGCTTATGCCCACTCACGACTACTGCCCTGATCGTTCGTACATTTTCACTCTTCTGCTCAACATTCGCACGTTTGTATCACCGGGTGAACTGCTTCATAAAGTGCTGCAAGTGAGTATCTCAACAGAAATTCATTCTCCACATTTTACTGCTGAAGTGAATTTCGAATTAACGACGGCTTTTCAAAATTTCAACTAGTTGTTCACCGATTCACACACACACACAAAAGCGATAGATCGTCACTGTTGAATACATGAATTGCTCCACTCAGTTGGCAGTGTTTGAACGAAGCTAATTTAAATGAATTTTGGCTGATCGTTAAAGGACGCATCATTCATATAGATGATGTTTCACTGGATCTTGAGTCAAAGAAACGCATTGCCGCATTCAATTGAATACTCACAGCACAGCTGAGCTTGTCAATCACAATTGATTCCCTTGGGAATTCAATTAAAATCAATTTCTCATGTTTAACACTCTCAACCATCTCGAAAGCTTGT